AAAAAAGCAAAAACTCTTTGAGGGATATGCAGATGTGGTCACATTTTAGGAATCCTGTTTGAAATGTAAATTACAGTTAATACTATTCTGCGGTTGGAAAATAATGCTGGGAGCCACATGTCTATTTTCAGGATGTAATGAACTAAAGTAAATGTTTGAGAGCTACTTGATGGGAAACATATTTTTAACTTTCAAGAAATAGTATTGGCTTATATTTGAAATTATATAGGCAATATCCCAATAATTGACTGAATCAGCTGGATCCCCAGGTTTCTTGTCCTATCTGTAGGTCCTGGATCTTTCTCAGGTTAGGCCCTAAACTTTCCTCACAGCCTATGATCCTCACAGGAAATGTATGACCACAGTAAATTCGAGGTCAGTGACATCTGTGATTTTCTTCAGAAACTTTATATGCATCATTTTTCTTTTAGTAAACTCAAAGTGATATCTGGGAATTATTTTTGGAACTTTTTTTTTTTGATACCGGGGATCAAACTTGGGTCCTTGCGCTTGCGCAGCAGGCGGTGAAACCACTGAGCTAAATCCCCGGCCCTGGGAATTATTTTTATTCATGTCACATAGTACAAGGTGATACATGTGTTCTTGGCTACCATTCAACTCTAAGATCCTCTGGAAGAAAAACATGTTATAGTTTTCACAGTTATTCTAGAAAAAATCTAATCTTTGATTTCCATGTGTGGCTGGTAAACCTAACATACTGACTCAAGGAGGATGTTAAATGACCATGATAACGCGTATTGCAATATACATGCCAACTATAGTTTATGTGTAGGCCTAGAATGCCAATGTGTTTTGTTAGAGTCATTTTTTCAATTTGTATCTTACCATGCACTTACCACGTATTGCCTGTTACATTCCCATTATGTTTGCAAGTAATTAATTTCCTGTCCATATAATTAAGAGTACAATTTCCATTATGAATCTTATGGCTTGTGAAACTGCTTACCTCAACTATTTTGTCTTTGCTTTCCGGTAGACGGGAGGAGAGGAGACAAGAGGAGAATTGAGCCCTAACTGGCCTCCTCTGTGATCATAAAGGAGAAAGGCTGCACTCAGGGGTGACTGCACATTGCAGGCTCTAGGAAAAAGTTAAGACAGCTGAGGTTAAGTTGTTTACCAGAGTTTGTACCAGTGGATGTTGGGAAGCAGATGAATCTTGTGTTACTTTCATTGCTTGTGCCCGTGTGTGGGTGAATAAAAGCAAGATGAGCCAGACACTAAGGGTTCTTCTGCTCACTAAGAGGAAAGAGCTTCCTGGCTGTCCACCTGTTAAGCTGACTCAGTGTCTCTGTCATTCATCCTCATGCACCCTCCCCCAAGTCAGGAAGAAGAAAGTAGCAGGTCTAGGTCCCCCACAAGTGGTTCCTGGGTGGGGAAAGCTCAGAGGAGTGGGCTGGCTCCCTATGGGTGGCACCTGGGGCAGGAGGGACCTATAACCTGTGGGACTCCAGACTGGGGAAAGGACTTTGGTTGGGCTACAAGACAACCCTTTGATTTCAGGGATGAGAGAGAGAGAAAATCTGTCCAAGCTCACAAAGAATTTTTAAATAACTGGATACGACCTGACTGACGACAGCTATTGCTAGCAAGAAAAAGTAACTAATTCAAACCAATCACCAGGCCAATCCCAATAAAACAAATGGGAAAGAATTGGGCTAGTCCATTAGTATGAAGACGTGGAAAAATTAGGCTCTTGGAATAACTGGAAACCTCCCACTACCCGCAGAAGGTGGTAGAGGGCCAACTCTAATAATTTAATCATAATTTTGACTGATCAAAACATCATTAATGAGAAATTCCTTTCAAATCTTCATTTGGTAAATTCTATGGTCCTGTGCTTCCTACCAAGTGGGAGTAAAGGTCACAGAGTCGACATGGGACAGAGTGCCCAGGGTCCCCATGAAATCACTAGAAAGCTACTACTCACAGCTGGGACTCTCCTAGCTGAGGGGGCATACCCTGGAACACCCCACATCACTCTGACAGTGCCAGTGAAGACTAGTCTCAGGTGTCTTTAATGCCCTTTGCCTTCACCTAGGTGCAAGTGATACTTCTTACCTTCAGAGGGCACCTGACTCACACTTTGAAGAAAATGGAATAACCCACTATACCTTGCTGTACTTCATATCCTACAAAACATGTAGCAGCACTTTAATGGAAACCCACTTTCAGTGTATGGGTGGGGCTGCACCTACATGCTTGTACTAGACTCCCAGTGGCTTGGGTTTCATTACAAAATATAGTATCTCTGTGTAAGAATACAGAGCTCTATAGCCTAAGACTGTGCTTTGCATATTCCACTCAGTGTTTATTGATAAGGTTGTTGGTGGTATTCATATTTCTGGAATAAAAACTTCACAGCCTTACTGTTAAAATCTCCAGCTTCCTTAAAACAGCTGCTTGTTTTATTTAATAGACCTACATGAACCTCTGATTAAAAACGAAAACTTCACATTTGTCTTTGAAATGATTAGTTACCAATGTGGGTAAATTAAAATATGGCACAGAGAATAGTATCAGAATGGGAGAAAATATTTACCTGAAATCCTGTGGGACAATAGTGGCATATGAGAAAATTATAATGCTTTTACTGAGGACCCCTGAAATGTTACAGAAAACCTCTGCAGTAGGCTCCAGTCTCCTGCTCAGTGTACAGTGCAGGCCTGAGGAAAAAACTAAAAGACAGAACTGAGACAGAAAGCAGGGTGCCAGGACGACCAATACCGGTCCAATTGACAAAGCCACTGGCCAGTCCACACCACTCATTTTTATTGGTAATCACTTGGGGTAAAGGTGAGCTACATGGAAGGCTTGTAAAAAATAAGACAAAGCATTCTCAAATTAGGAACAGAATAAACAAAATATATGGTTGTAATTAGAACCTTGTCCCTCTAGTTAAGATTTTAGTTGGAATGGAATTTGTGTGCGAGTTACTCTGACCTCGGCACAACACGTAGGCTTTGGCAGACTCGCTTCTCAAAACAAGCCAGTTGCGGGGTTAACTGTTCATACCCTGCACTGCTTATAGCCTGCTATGGGCATAATAAGTACTGCAGTCTTCCACATGCTTTTCCTTAAATTCTTTAAGTTTCAGTTAATGTAATAATATAGCAAATAATATTCTACTCTAGGAAGAAACAGAAGAATTCTTTATTTTATGAAATGAACCTAACAGCCAAAAAACTTGACCTTTAACTCACATATGAGTCAGTTCAAAGCATCAGTTGGTCATAGAGCTGGAGGACATACTGGGACACATTGGCACTCACCTAACCAAAAAACCCCTATAAAGAACAAATTCTTCAAACTTTCATCTTAAAAGTATGAGTGCCTTACATAGAAACAAGCAAACAAAAGGATTATTTTATACTTAGAGGAAGTTGTTTTAAGCTATGGTAGATAGGCATATATTATATATAGGAAATAATTTTTTGAAAAAGGAGAGACAATGTTAGCATTTATTTAGACTAACATATTATAAGTGATATCTCTGCAGGTCACATGATGAGGGAAAGCATTATGATTGAAAGTATTCAAAAGAATAAAGAAAAATCTAAAAGAGCTACCTGTGACATGGAGAGGTGAATGGAGGTGGAGGAAAAGTTATCAAGATCAAAGTTGGATAAATGGTAAAATTCCTCTTAGTTAATAAAATTCCTCAAGTTTCCTGCCAGTTGGGTCACACGAGATGCCCAGAGGAAAGAGATTGGCCTGTCAGCAACAGGAATGTAGCTGCTTTCAGGCAGAGCAAATTCTACACCTGTATAAATTTGCTGGGTTGCTCTGTGCTACTGAAAAATCTGAGAATTCAGAGGGACACAAACAGGCCTTTCTCAGACTTCTGTGTGTATGTGTGTGCACAAAGCATTGAGGATTGAACCCAGGGCTTTGTACATACTAGGCCAGTATTATACTACTGAGCTGCACCCCAGCCCCTTTATAATCCTTTTTATTTTGAGACAGGGTCTCATGAAGTTGCCCAGGCTGGCCTTTTCAACCTCCAGAGCACCTGGGATTACAGGTGTGCACCACCAGGCCCGGCTTCAGACTATCCTTTTCTGAATAGGTGTCAGCATCCTAAACTCACTCAAGAAGTGACATTTATCAGTTTCCCACTGAACAAAATAAAACTGTTCAAATAAGGAGTATGCCCTTGTCACCAGAACAGATGGTAAATCTGTTGATAAAATTTTGAGAATTTTCTCTGAAATTATGACCTGCAGATTAATTCACGGTCCCTCAAGAGCTCGCTTAGGCACTAGTGCAGATGAAAGCAGGAAAACCGTTCCCCAGTACCTGCCTGTGCCATTCCCGCAACTTGCACAGTGTCTAAGAACAGGAACTCCTGAGTCCAGCCAGCTGCACACATGGTGCCTAGGGCGGAGCCAAAGCACAGAAATGTATGACTCAAAGGAAAAAGGGACTTGGCCTGACTTCCCAGGAATCATTTTTCATAAAAATACAAGCGTAAAGATCAATAGTATAAAAAGTGGTTTGAGTAACACAGGTTAAAAAAAAAAAGATAGCAAGTAGAAAAGCTGATAAAAGGCACTCAACAAAAGAGAAAAAAAAAACCTGTACTCTTAAAATCTAATTATTTGGCTGATCTCCATAAGGTGGAAGCCATGCTCAATTAGTTTGGAAATTGGAAATCAGTTCAAAGGTACCCAAAATTCTGCCCTGGAAACCTATAGTTTAAAGTTCAGCAGTGATTTTTATGACAGGCTATTGTGATCCTTGTGGAATGGACTGAAATGTAAAATGACAGAGCAAAGTCGGTGGTGGCAACAGTGGCCCATGAGAGCCAGGAACTTGGGCTATGATGTGGTTCCAAGACGCCAGAGCCACAGTGTAAGGGGCCCATGGCCAGCACCACCTGCAACTCACCAGCTCTTTGGCAGCACAACAATTAAGATGCTCAAGAGAGGCCAGTGGGGCCCCACACCCAATCAGCAGCTTCAGCACCAAATCCACCTTAGTGGAGAGGGGAATTCATAGAAACAAACATAGAATTGTATGAGTATGAGGACTCGGTAATGTGTAAAATAAAATTCTCATTGAGCAGACTCATCTAGAAAGCAAACACAACAATTCAGTCCTTCTTGTCTCCAAAGCCAACTCCCTCTTTCTGGGTTAGTGTGCTCAGATCTGGTCTGAGCTTGTTATGAGGACTGTCAGGACCAACAGTCACAGCAGATGCCATCTGCATAATGAATCAGCGACTTCTGAGATCTCTGCTCCCTAGCAGCAGTGATTCACTGGCTACCAAAATATAACAGGGTATTCTGGGAGCAGAAGTTAGGCCTTCTAAAGCAGAGAGGAGTAGCGTGTTAGCTGTAGGTCACCTGTTTTGAATTTTTAAATGTTTTATTGGGGAATATTTTTATTTGGGGAATATTTCCCCCACAAGAAGCAGAATCCTTACCTTTCTGTATATTTTCTGAATAAAAAATTTATATTCCTTTAACCCAGACCAACAGATTGTGGTAGTGATTGTCAGAAACATACTGGATGTTAAAAAAATAAATAAATAAATTTTAAATTTGATTCCTCCCCAACAAAAATCATCTTCACATTAAAGTTGGTACCTTTCACCAATTAGGATAGACCTTCAAATCTTGTATTTTATTTTTCCTTGTAACTATCATTGAAAACTTAAAAACAATAGCCAATCATCTGCCAGAAAATTAGGAGACCCAAATCAGCTAAAATGGTCTTGAAAAGAACAAAATTGCAGCTTACACTTCCTGATTTCAAAACTTACTACAAAGCTACAAAATTAAAACAGTGTGGTACTGGCATAAAGAGAAACATAAATCACTGGAATAGAATAGTCCAGAAATAAACTCTCTCATATATGGTCAAATGATTTTCTACACAGGTACCAAGATCATTCAATAGGGAAAAGACAGTATTTTCCACAAATGGTAAGGAGGAAACTGGGTATTCATATCTCAAAAAATGACATTAGATGCCTACCTAATGTTATTTATAAAAATTAACTCAAAAATGGGTCAAAGACCTAAATGTAAGATCTGAAACTGTAAGAACTTTAGAATAAAACAAAGGGTGAAAACTTAAGGATATTGGATTTGCCAATGATTTCTTAGCTACGACACTAAAAGCTAACCAACAAAAGAAAAATTAGGTGAGTTGGACTTCTTCATAATTGAAAATATTCATACCTCAAAGGACACTAGCAAAAGAATGCAAAGGCAATCTATGAAACAGAAGGTAATATTTGTAAACCATATTATCTGATAAGCAGTTGATATCCAGACTATATAAAGAACTCCTAGAACTCAACAACAGCGACAATTAATTTTAAAAATGGGTAAAGACTTAATTTGACTTGTCTCCAAAGAAGATATACAAATGATCAAGAAGCACATGAAAAGGTGCTTAACATCATTAGTCATTACAGAAATGTAAATGAAAACCATAATGATATACTCACCCATTGGGATGGCTATTTTTTTTAAATGGGAAGTAGAAATACTGAAGATGTGGAGAAACTGAAATCCTTATGCCCTGCTGGGAGGAATGTGCAGTGGTACAGTTGCTATGGAAAACAGCATGGCAATTCTTTAAAAATTAAACATAGAATTGGCATGTAATCCAGTAATTCCTCTTCTGAGTGCACTGTATGTCCAAATACGTGAAGGCAACACTCACACACATATTTGTACACTCTTGTTTGTAACACTTTCACATGAGCCCAAAACTGGAATGACCCAAGACTCTGTGGATGGATGAATGGACAAACTTTGGTATATACATTTAAAATACTGTTCTGTCTTAAAAAGACAGAAATCTTGACCCATACTGCACTGTGGATGAAACTTGAAGACATTATGTTGTCACAAAGGACAAGTTATTATATGATTCTACTATGTGGAGTTCCTAGCATAGTCATATTCACAGAAAGTAAAATTGTGGTTGGCAGCAGCTTAAAGGAAGGGAAATGTAGAGTTATTATTTAATGGGTACAGAATTTCCATTTGGGTAGAAGAAAAAATTCTAGAAATGTATAGCACTAATCCAGTTTGAGAGTACTTAGTGCTATAGAACTGTGTACTTACATATGGTAAAAGCAGAAATTTTTAAAATTTTAAAATATACATTCATATATATATAGATATATGTATATCCACAACAAAAATGGGAACAGAAACCAAAAATAATGAGTTGTTCAAAAATTAGGAAGAAGTTAAATGTCCAAGTAGAGGGGAACAAGAATGGCTAAATGGGTTATGATTACTCAGTGGGATATTTATCTGGAAAGCATGTAATGATGGCGGCAACCTGAAAAGTGCTATGATGTACTAAATTTGGGGGGGGGTGTAAAATTATCATATACCATAACTGCAGCTGTAAATAAGTGTGGTTCAATGAAAAGAGCTAAGAGGAATTATCAAAATGCTATAAAAATTTACATTAGGATGGGGGATTATTTGCTTTGTTTTCATCTGTTGTCCAATTGTTTTGGAAAGCAGATGTAGTAATCTTTAATGAAAAATGAATTTATACTCAAACATGAAAAGATGTAATAAGGAAAAGTTTTTAAATCTTTAAAAAATCAAAATCTTTTAAAATTATCATCCATAAAAGACAAAATACAGGATATTTTCGAAGCTTTTGCAGAATAGTGTGTATCATGAAGCAAGTGTTTAATGTTCCTAGAAAATCCTAGTTCAGTTCTCTGCTTCAAAAACCACTTAGGATTCAGGTCACTGAGCAGAGGACACACAGATGAACACCTCTGAAGGAAGAAGCTGTTCAAGGAATGTCATCCATCTGTCACTGGGCAAAGACACCTTCCCAGAAGCAGAAATCCCAGGCTTAGAGAGATGCCTGTTTAGGCTAAAGCACTCTCACAGCTTGGCATATAGGGCACCTTTTAAAAGTGCTTCCCAAAGTGACATGGTGTTTCTAACTGGGTTATTCTTAAAACTTTATTCTCCATCTGTCATCATCCTCCAACTTATTGACACCATTTTATTGTCTCCCACAAGCTCCGCCTGGTTTCTCCAGCCCCCTACCATCCGCCCAAAGAAGGAGAATCAAAGCCCCTGCAGCCATGGGAGGGAAAGAAAAGGAAGGCAGCTGGTTCAAAAGATGATGAGTGCTCTTTGAAGAAGTAGGCAGAGGGCAGAGCTAGTGGGCAGAGTTGTAACCACCCACGGGGAAGCTCTCCATCCCCTGCAGACTCCCAGAACCTCACTCAGACAGCTCACAGGAGAGTCAGCCTCCCAGATAAGAATGGGACAGGGCACCGTGGAGGGCACAGCTTGGTGTGCCAAGGTCACCTCATTTACAGGGTTCCAGGCTCTGCATTCCTTTCTGATGGATGCTGTTGTTACCTGTTGCCTCTTCTAAGAGCCTCATCCAGTCTGTCTTCCAGTGCCACTGTCCATGCAGACATTGCCACAAAGTATTTTCGTAACCTAGCTCCATTCCATGATGCTCTTGGATTCTGGTTTGAAGAGTCTTCTAAAGTCCCAGTTGGCTTCTCTTCTACCTCCTGCCATTTTGGACGATTCTGTTCTCTATCAATCCTAGGTGGTTCGAGATCAGATCTCTCACTGCACAGTGAAATTGCGTCAGACCACAGGTCTCATGGAGTACTGCTTGGAGGTGATTAAGGAAAATGATCCTAGTGGCTTTTTGCAGGTAAATGTTAACCATTTGTGCTTTAGATTCCACATGTCCCATGGGATAAGTCTAGGATGGCTAGGCAGGACATACAGCAGCCCCGGCCAAGCCACCTTCCTGGGTGTGTGGGCACCTGATAAATTAGCTCCACTGATTTTCTGAAAGTCTGCCACCAGGTGCCACAAGATTGAAAAGTGCATGTGTTTTTTGTTGTTTTTTGTTCTTGAAAATGTAATTCCCAGTAAGTTCTTCCAAAGAGGAGTTTTTCCCTTGTGTAAGAATCAGGCCCCCTCTTTTATTATCTTTTTTTTCCCTATTAAGTCTATTGGTACTTTTTAGGTATAGAATACAGTTACATTTATCATTGGGATCTTGTACCTTTACATGAGTATCTTGGTTCTTATTTTTTTCCCCTTCCCCTGGCCTCCCTTCACCCCCTCCACCCTTCCCTATTTGCAAAGACTTTGTTTCAATTTTTTTCCTTTTCTCATATTTTTTCTTTTCCCTTTTTTCTTTTCCCCTACCCCTCCCACTTCCCCTGCTCCTTTAGACCTTTTCTTCCTATTACACAATATCAATTATACATTTTTAAAGTACAATATCAAGATCTAGGAGACATTACCACAGATTTTACAGAATTTAAAAGGATATAGAAAGCATATTACAAAAATCTTTTTTGAAATAAATTTGACAACTTCTAAGAAGTACCTTGGAAGACAAATTAATGAAACTGACTCTAGAGGGAATATAAAATTTGAATAGCACCTATTAAAGAAAGTATATTCCTAGCTTGAAAACCTACCTATATGACAACAACAGGCTCATATACATTTTAACTGATAAATTATATCAAACAAAGCAGAAAAAAGGAACACTTCTCCCCTCATTTTAGGAAATCAACATTGTGCTAATCCTAAAACTGGATAAAGATAATAGAAGGAAAATGTATGAACATAGATAGAAATTTGTTTAACAAAACAAACTATTAGAAGTCAGATCTGGCAGTATGTAGAAAGTGGTTTTATTATAGGGATGGCAGTGTTGGTTCAGCATTGGAAGATCCATCCTCAAAAGTCATCGTTTTAACAGAGGAAAGGAAAAACCCACATGATCCTGTCAGTAGTTGGAGAAAAAGTATTGTACTAAATTCCACAGCTGTTCACGGTAAAAGCTATCAGGAGACTAGAAGTAGAACAGAATCTTCTCAACAGATTAAAGACATGTACTCCACACTTCCAGTGAGAACGACTTATATGAATGGAGAAGATACAATGCTTTCTCCTTAAGGTGGGGAACAAGGGCAGATATGCCTACTCTTCATCTGTCCGTTAAACTTTGAAACCTAGGCCCAACCAAAATAGTCTGGCAATAAAATGACATAATTAAGATAGGATTGGCAAGGTAGAAGCAAAATCTTTATCTCTTTTATTATCTTATGGACAGTTTTGTCAGGCAAAAATGTCTAATGTGCAAGTGTCTACCTTCTGGTCACCTCCTCCTGTCCAGTAAGTCAGTGATTTCTCTAATATAGTGAAGTTTACTCATTTTTAAATGTTAAGTCTTTTAGTGAAATGTTATGATATAAGCTAGATGTTATTTAAATTTAAGGAAACTTTTGTTAAAGGATGTGAAGATCTCTTCCAATTTTCATTCTGTTAAAATGACCAAGAGTGACCAAGGGTGACTGAATGTAAGAAGTGAAAGAATTCTGTACCAAAGAACAAAGTGATAATTGTAAAAAGATAGTGTACTTAAAATGTAATAAATTCCACAGGCAGCCTCTCTCATTCTCAAGTCTTGATATACTACCCACACCTCAAAATAGAAGCTTCGATCTGTTGATTCTAACAGATTAACTCATCACTAACATATCATTCTTTACAACTGTGGGCTTTAAGTGGCTCAGTCATAAATAGCATGATCACATATCCAGGTTTGTCTATTAGATCAATTAACACCTGCTTATTATTTATAATACCCTCCCTCTGATTCATGAAAGTGTTCAGACTTGCTTGATAAATCTTGGGTCATCCTAATCCTAACGGGATCCTTCTTACCAACCACACTGAGACCAGAAGCGTGTGGCTCCTGGGGCAATTTGATGGTGACACTCCCAGAGGGTCAAGGAACAATGTTGTTTCGAGTGTGGCACTGCATTTCTCAGGCTATGGTCTTTGCTGTGATTAGATTTCTGATGCCCTCATAAGGAGAGTGCACCTGACTGAAGACCAGTGGGGGAAAGGCACGCTCACGCCCAGGATGACCACGGACTTTGACTTGAGTCTGGACAACAGCCCTCTGCTGCAGTCCATTCACCAGCTGGACTTCGTGCAGGTGAAAGGTACGTGTTTGTGTCACCCAGGCCGGACACTTTCATCTCAACTAGATGCAAGTGCTTGAAACAGGGCCAGTGCCCCTCTGGTGAGGGTTACAAAAATCTGGGGTGGTTCTTATCAGATACTAAAAATGTCTTCTTGTACCTGTGCAATCTCCCCCTGAGCAGGTCAGATAAATTCAGGTGTGTCTGACTCTTTGTGAGTCTTCGAGATTTCATGTGCTCAGCATCAGAGAACTGACATAATAGGAGACAGGGAGAAAGAGAGAACATCACTGCACATAAATAAAACTTTGCTACAGGAAGTAACCCAGAGATATTGATATAAATCAAGGGAGTCCAGGATTGAGATGCCTGCTTCCACCTGCATACAGATAGCAAGCAAACGGCAGAGCACAGATCAGAAGGAACTCAAGAACATCATATCAGGGCCGGGGATTTAGCTCAGTGGTTCTACCTCTTGCCTCGAAAGCATGAGGACCCAAGTTTAATCCCCAATACCAAAAAAAAAAAAAAAAGATTGTTTTGGGCCAGGGATTTAGCTTAGTGGTTTCGCCACCTGCTGCGCAAGCACAAGGACCCGAGTTTGATCCCTGGTACCAAAAAAAAAGAAGAAGAAGATCATATCAGCCTGCCAATATCTGCAGGAAAAGGCCCACCTGGAAGCCCAATGGAAATTTGAGATCCACTTTAAAATTAGTTTATGTAACGGATAGGTAACAGCAAAGTCTCTTGAGATTTAAGAGCAGGGGGCTGAAGGGAAATACAAGTACTTAGATTTATTTTAAGGAAAATTAAAACAAGTTGATGGTACTTTA